CTGGACAGTACCAGGCAGGTAGGACGGTGGTGGACAATGCTGGACTGGTAGGACAGTGACAGTGCTGGACAGGCAGGACAGTGGTGGACAGGTAAAACAGTTCTGGACAGCACCAGGGCGGTAGGACGGTGACAATGCTGGACAGTACCAGGCAGGTAGGGCAGCGGTGGACAGTGCTGGACAGGCAGGACAGTGATAGTGCCGTTCAGGTAGGACAACACATCACAAGTTAGAGAGTGATAATGGTTAAAAAGAAAAATGTCACATGCCCGTGTCCCTCTCAGCAAGACCTGCTCAGCTCAGGGCTGAAGGACAGGGTTCAGAGAGCTGCCTGAGTGCAGGAGAGCAGGCCCTGTCACCCCAGCCACAGCGCCGGCCTCATTTGACTGGGTTCTTTTGCATAGCACACACTGGACAGCGTGGACTCTCTCCTGCCAGTGAGAGAGGGCTGCTCCCTGCTCCACCTGCGCTGGCCGGGTCGTTTGCATGAGCTGTTGGTTGTAGGAGGTTTGTAAGGCGCTTAGTTGGTTGTAAGTCTTGGATGACTGGATCCTGAACTGAAATGCTATTCTCACTTTCAGAAAACAATGCACGGTCTGTTCTACAGCTTTGAAAACAACATCTGCAGGGACTTTAAGTTGCCTGTGCTTGAGACTCCAGTGACTTGGGTATCACAAGCCCCAGGGTCAGGGCCTGGTTGGACTAGGAGGCTCGTTCTGACAGTGTGATGATCTGACCCAGCTGCCCAGCGCTCCTCAGTGGGCGAGCCCTGTAATTACATCTCTGTCTGCCAGCAGACGCTTCTCAGCCAAATGTGGTCCTAACTTTTGCAGGAAACGAGGAAGGGGCTAATATGTTTCTTGGGATACTGGTTGATTTTTTTTTGCCTGTGCCCTTGCCAATTCCTCTTGATTTCACGCAGCACAGTACGGAGGTGTGTGTCTGTTCTTTTTTTAGCCAGCGTGCTATTATGTTCCTGGAGGGAGAGATGTACAGGATATCTGAGACCTCAGGAACACTCTGCCTCTGAATGGGCTCCCCTGGCTGTTTTGACCGTTTCTCTTGTGATTTGCCTCATTTGTTTCCAAACACAATCCTAGGAAAACAAGCCAAGGGCGGCAGGGTAGCTCAGTGATTAACATTGCTGCCTCTCAGTGCTGGGCTCCTGGGTTCAATTCCGACCTGGGGGGCTGTCTGCGTGGAGTTTGTATGTTCTCCTTGTGTTCGTGGGGGTGTCCTCCGGGTGTTTTGGTTTCCTCCCGCAGTCCCAAAACATGCTGTTGGTTTTAACATTGGCCCTGGTGGGAGTGTGAGTGTGTGCCCAGCGATGGATTGGCGTCCCTCCCAGGGTGTGCCCTGCCTTTGCGCCCGTAGCTTGCAGGGATAGGCTCCGGCTCCGGCTCCCCCAGGCCCCTGAACTGGACGATAGGATTACAGCATGGCTTCAGTGTGACCCCCGCCTGTCGGTATCCTAGGGCCACCTTGTGCTTGTCTGTGACCCTGGCGGGGGGAGCTGGCTGCACCCTGACCCCCTGCCCTCTCTCGCCAGGCTGGTGTCCTCGGTCCACGCCATCATGGCCACCACCTCGGGGTTCATCGTCGTCTCGTCCTGCGACAACGTGATGACCGACAGGTAAGAGCAGCCGCAGGGCTCCAGTGACCACAGTGTCTTGGTACGAAGGTCCAGTCTGTGCATGCGAGATGAACTCTCCCGAGCTGCCTCTCCGGTTCAGCTGCTACGGACAACTGTGATAAAAGTGCTTCCTGAAAAGTCATCAAAAAGAACAAGTGAATTCTCTTCCGGATGTGTCATGGGATTCCATCCTTTCACATTACGAGTCCTTGTGTGAAGAAACATCAGACGCATCTTATCCTATTAATATAATAAAATAACTATTGTGACAGAACGCAATAATGCTTAAGCTTAATTTCATTCTGCTGCTCAAATGAAAGACCAGATCTACACACAAGTCTGCTCCTGGTTTTAATGGCACGTGTCTGCTTCCACAGGACGTGCTCTGCCTGTGGTAATGAGGGGCAGATCTGCAGCTCCAGTGCTGATGTGTGTCTGGGGACCTGCAGCTGGCACTGGCCTGGCACTGACCAGGCACTGGGGTTCACATGCCCGCAGAGCTAAGCAGCAGACCTGCAGCTCCACCAACTCGGCCTAAAGATATATTTCTGAAAGTACAGCTATCACAACATCATGCTGAGTAAAAGAGAAGGGGTTATCCCACGCATGACTCCAAATATCCAGTCTGCTGTGTTTGTTAGTCATGCTTTGTCTGAGCTTGATTAGCCAATTGGATGACAACACCAGCCCATGTGATTGCAAAGACACCTGTGATTGGCTGAAGTACAGTGTATAAATTTTAATGTAGTCACTGTTTACTAAGTCACAGGTGCCATTCTGCAGACTCAGTGGAAAAGTTAAACCTCTGGGTCGCTCGGTTATTAACTTGTCTGTCTTAACTATTATTTTTATTGTTGTAATACATCCTAAATTGTAGGTTTGTTTCGAATTGAAAAACATGCAGTGGTATTTTTCAAATTTATCTTTTAAGTTTGTTGCCCTGTCAAATTTCGACTCTTAGAATTTTCTTAGTTAATACTAAGAAGAGTTAAGTTCACAGTCTGCTGATTTGCTTATTTCACCTCTTGTCCTGGTTTTCAGAGAAGCGGCCTTGACTCAGGTAGTGTTTGAGACACAAGCAGGAGCAGTGTCTCTTGAGATACTCGTGGAGGGCGCGCCTCAGCGCTCTGCGATCGGAGTCGAGCTCCGATTGGATCCAGAGTACTGCCTTGTGTGCGAATATGTACAAAAAAAGAGACTGAGTATTTTTATGTTGAACATAAGGTTTAAATTAGTAGAAATTCCTTTTACGATGGGACTTGTACAACATTCTTTTATGCCTTAAATTTGTTGGGCTTCTCTTTATTTATTTCTGGTTCTGGATAAAATCCCATATGACCTTAGTCAAAGTCACGTCAGCCCTCTCAGTAATCAGGCCTTTTCAGCACCAGCTCTTCTTGGAAGAATTCAGATCAAATTCCTTATTTCATTGAAAATAACTCAAGCGTTTGAAAAGGTAATATACTTAGGTCATTGTTGTCACCCTTATTGTGAGACATAGTTTTGCACCAATTCGGTGCTATAAATATTGTTAACCGTGGTATGTCTGAGTTTATTAAAGTGGTTCATCTTGATAAATGTTTTTGGGAAGCAGCTGATGGGAGATACAGGAGCTGAGCCTGTGGCTCTGTAGTGACTCCATTGTCAGCCAGTCAGTCCAACCTGACACTGCGGCTCAACTTACAGGGAATTTGACCTCTGTGTTTGTAGTGCAACTGTTCAGAATACACATGCTGCTCCATATACAATTTCACCTGCACCCTCTCCCCTGACAACAGCACCCATAGTAACAGATGTGGAGCTGCTGCCTCTCAAAGCTATATTCTGCCCTGGAGGCCGTACTGTGGTGTAATTTACACTATTTATAACATTTGAGCAACATCAAATCCTTTAATTGTCTAATCCGCTATAGTAATTTTCCAGGCAAAGTCCCCCTTGCTGGCCCCTTTATTAATCAAGGGGATTGCACAATCGCAGTGTTTTAATCCCTGCAGCTAAATCAGTCCTTTCTTACGGCTGCCCGTTTTGCTGATCTGGTGCGTTTCAGTATTAGGGGAATGTTGTATTTAGTGCTTTTTGCTTCTGCTGCTGTCAGTCTTGTTTAAGGCAAGACTGTCTTGCTGAGGTCTGTCCGAGGCAGACTTTGCCCTATCATGTCGTGTCCTCATCATGTGCAATCCTGGATTTGGTGAGTCAGTAGAAATGAGGATAAGACCTTAGTGTGCAAGAATAGGCTCTGCGTTCCGTAAGGTTTTACTGAAAGAACGTACTCTTCTCATTGCAGGCCTCGTAATTATAGTCTTTGGCATCCTGACTAAGTCAGTACTGGAGGGAGGGCTCAGATCATTGCTAGTTGAGGGTTTCAGAACCTTTTCTCAGAAGAGTGGACATTAATGATGTTTATAAGCCAATTAGGTTTCGTTTACCAGCTACCAGTTTTAGAGTTCTATTAAATTTATTACATCATAAACCCTTGGCTTTGTTCCTTTCAGTGGAAAATAAAGCAGTGAAAATAAACAGCTTTTTAAATGTGGCTGACATCACTGAGTTTACAAATTTAGATGTGGAAAAATGATACATTTTCATGAGGTGTGCAGGAGGAAAAGGACTGGTGCTGGAGTGCTGTGCTTGGATAAGATGGATACCTGTCTTTCTCCTCACAGGCACTGGCTGGCCACCTACTTTGTCTGGTTCGCCATGTCCTACATGGCCTACGACCTCTACGCCATGTACCTCAGTCACTGGTACCGCTTCCGGGTGAAAGGTCATGAGGAGTACAAGGAGCACTCATTCCGCACCGTCAACAGTTTTGTGAGGAGGGAGTTTCTGCTGGTGCTGCATCACATCGTTCTGCTGACCATACTGCTGCCCATCACTCTGGTAAGACGAATGGAGGAGGGGGCGGGCGATTGGCAGAGACTTCGGAATTTGTTTCTGATCGCTGTAGCTCTCTCAGCCCCTTCGGACTGCTCAGGCTCACCCAGGCCTGTCTTTTGTCTGTGTTGTTTTTAAACTGTGTAAAATGGTTTAAAATGAGCCCTGTCCCTTTTTCTGCTGCATTTTTGAATTTCTGTCCAATTCTGTCTTAATTAATTTAAGAGTCCCTTGGAGGTCTATAACACATTTTTTCAGAAATTTTGTTTTGAGAACTCCAACTCAGGGGGTTTTACACAGTCGGTTTTCAAGTTTTCAA